ACTCCAAATTTTGCAGTATTTCCCAAAACTACAATGAGAACTGCAGCACTGCTAAAACACAGATATTATGGCTCTTTTAGACATTCTGGCAACTATAAGAACATGTCAGCCCTCATTAGATTATAGTAGACTTTTATTTTACTGTGAGTTAAGCAGAATAGGTTGACATGCATTTGCTAATTAAGGCCCATGTTTACACTAGTGCGTTTTAGTTTTAAAACACCATTTTAGATCAAAAATGATTCACGTCTACACTATCGTTTCAACTAGTGTTTCTGAACATATCTCCGTCCACACTACGCCACCAAAAATGTACATCACGTGACCATTCGTGCACTCTGGGCATGCGCGTTCTAGTATAAACAGAAAGCATGCGTCTCGCTCAGCATTTGGTTATTATTAGTCAACAAACGTTGGTTGAACAATGAACGCAATGGCAAAGAAAGCAAGAGAGGTATTTTTGTGGACAGATGACGAGGTTGAGTTGTTAATAAACAAATTTACAAATGAATAACTGCACAATGGCGCCTAAAAAAGACAATAGTGCAAACAACGCTCCCATTTCTGTGTACATGTTGTTGTTTACAGTGAAGGCTGGTCTGCTGTCTTCCGGTAGCGTTAAAGCCATGTGTAATAGTCATGTGATCACGGAACAGCAGCGTTTCAGAATGAAAACGGCCTCTCCAGCGTTTCCAAAATGCTCCGTTTTTGGTGCTTAAAAACTCCGGCGTAGTGTGGACGGATGGCGCAACCGTAGCAAAACTTATAAACAGGGCCAAAGTCTGTTCGGGAACCATCAAAATGTGTGGCATACCCAATTCACCTGTACCACATGTCTTTGGACTTATGGGGGAAACCGGAGCACCCGAAGGAAACCAACGCAAACACAGGGAGAACATGCAAACTCCACACAGAAATGCCAGCTGATCCAGCTAAGGCTCAAACCAGCGACCTTCTTGCTGTGAGGCATAAGTGCTACCCACTGCGCCACCGCGTCGCCTGTTTCTTTTTTAATGAGTTTTTTTTTTTTAAGTCATTATTTTAGAAAAATAGACTATGCTGCAGTAAGTGAGTTTTTATTTAATAAAATAAATTACATATGCCTTAGAACAGAGGTGGCCAATCCTGTTCCTGGAGATCTACCTTTCTGCAGATTTCAGTTGCAACCCTTATCAAACACACCTGTCTGTAATTATCAAGTGGATTTCAGGTCCTAATTAATTGGTTCAGATGGGTTTGATCAGGGTAGGAGCTAAACTGTACAGGAAGGTAGATCTCCAGGAACAGGATTGAGCACCCCTGCCTTAGAATATGAAAATGAAATGCAATAAAGGAGCGAACCACTCTTTGGGAGCACAGACACTAATTACTGTTCTAGGAGATGTTAATACTGGACAATTTAGATGACATACTTTGACTAAGGCATTTCAGAATGACTGAAACAACATTTCAGATGTTGTGCAATGTGGTCGGTCAGCTGGTTTGTCCATTAATGTAATCCCATTGCACCCATTTTTCATAATCAGTTAAAATGATCAGTTAAAATAAAACCGTGACTCCTTTGTTGTGCATGTTAAAATGTAAAGTTTATGCATTATATATTTTATGATTGTAATACAGTTCATGCATATATTTCTAATTGTTTAAAAAGTTTATCCTACTCAGACGTGTTCATTTAAGTTTTTATTCTCATTTTCAAAATGTACGCACATTTTGGCATTTCCAGTAAGCTTTTTTTTTTCTTTGCAATATTCCAAAATGAGCATAAAAATAGGTGAATAGAAACTATACAGTGATACTATACTACTACTCTAATGGCAAATAGTTGACGTACTGATACAGTACATTTGCAGAATGTCTAAAGGAGACTATCAAAATAGAGTATAACCAGCCATTACCTTTAATGACTGCTCAGAATGGAAGAATATCTGAGTAAAAAAAAAAAGTGTAACATTCTGCAAGTGAGACTCTGTACTGTCCGTGGAGGTGTTGTTGAAGTGATGACTCCCTAGGTGAGAGTGCTATTGACCTGTCAGTGTCTGTGAGGCCTTTAACGGCCTTTCGAGCTGTTTTAGCACCTTCATGCTTGGAAATGTGCCCTGTTCCATCAGAATGTCATAAATATGCAACTTCGACACATTGGCCAATCCAAACAAGTATTACACAATGTTAAATATAAAGGTACAAGATCAACATAGGACCTGACAGGCTGGTAACTACAGAGCCATAACCATGCACTAACATGGATGTAATCAGGATGTATTTTTGCAGAGTCATGTAAGAAAAGGGTAGTTAATATTGAGCTGTAGTTGCTCTTAGGCAGAACTAGGTAGGGAAATTTTGGAGTCAATCACCTGGGGCCTCATGTACAAAGACTTGCTTTGAATTAATACTTAAACATTGTGTAAGGACAAAGCTGTAATTGTGCATACGCAGTAAAAAAAATCTGATGTATGAAACACTGCACACGCAGAATCCCAAGCATATTCTATTTGTTCATCCGAATTTACGTGAAATTGAGAGCAGCACGCACAAGCGCAAACCCTCTCCTTGCCTCCCCCCTGTATGAATATGGTAATGACTCCACTTTTGGAAAAACCAAACGAGAAAGCATTGGCAAATGCAAGCAAGAAGAGAAACTTCACAGAATGTGAATTGTAAGTGCTCCTATCGGAGGCAGACCAGAGAAAAACAAGTATTCAAGTTTGACCTCCGGAATTAATAACAAAAGAAAAAAAATGAGTTGGAGAGTTTAGCTGACGCGATTAACGCAGTGGGGTCCGAACATCGCATTGTGAGTAAATAAAAAAATGGTCCGATTTAAAGACAACTTCTCCATGATGGACATCCAGTGTTAACTAGCCTCCAGCGCCTTGACTGTAGCTCTGCACAAGAAGTTCATCCAGGCGCGAAATGTTCGTCCCAAACGGAGCCTGATATCTGTCAAGGTTTTTTTTTTTCTTCACTTTTGTCAATTGGTAAAGTTTTGTTCCTGGTCACAGTCGCCACTGGCTTGCTTGGTTTGGGACTTGTGGAGCTGTGCATTGATGGATTTGCTCTTCAGTGTTTGGACTTTTTTAATCAGTAATGTTTAAACCACAGTGAACTGAACTAAACTAAACTTTAACTTTTAAATCTGGACTGACACAGTTTTATTTTACTAGAACTTCTATGTTGAGCTGCTTTGACACAATCTACATTGTAAAAGCGCTATAAAAATAAAGATTGAATTGAAATGATTAATCATAGTTCAACATTAACTAATGCATTACTAATATCCAAAGTTGTGCTTTTTACCATTGTTTATTGTGCCGTGAGTAAACATGAACTAACATGGACTAGCGTTTTTAAACTTAATTAAAATTAACTTACGTTAACAAAGATTATAAACACCATTATAAACTTATTACTAATAGTTTGTTCATGTTAGTAAATACATTAACTAACATTAAGTAATGGACAATTATCTTAAAGTGTTACCTTTTTATTTATGATTATATACAGTGCATCCAGAAAGTATTCAAAGCGCTTCACCTTTTCCACATTTTTTATGTTACAGCTTTATTCCAAAATAGATTCAATTAATTTATTTCCTCAAAATTCTATACACAATACCCCGTGATGACAGTACTGTATGAAAAAAGTATTGAAAAAATTAAAAACCTGAAAAAATCACATGTACAAAAGTAAATACTTTGTTGATGCACTTTTGGCAGCAATTACAGCCTCAAATCTTTTTGAATATGATGCCACAAGCTTGACACACCTGTCTTTGAGAATTTTTGCCCATTCCTCTTCACAGTACCTTTCAAGCTCTATCAGGTTGGATGGGAAGCGACGGTGTACAGCCATTTTCATATCTCTCCAGAGATGTTCAATAGGATTTAGATCTGGGTTCTGGCTGGGCCACTCAAGGACATTCACTTAGTTGTTGTGAAGTCACTCCATTGATATTTTGTATTGTGGGTATTGAGTGTAGAATTTTAAGGAAATAAATTAATTTAATCTATTTGGGAATAAGGCTGTAATATAAAAAATGTGCAAAAAGTGAATCGCTACGAATACTTATCGGACGCACTGTAACTGATTTTATTCTGGGTTTTATTTTTATGATAGTACTTTAAATTAAAACTTTTAGGTAAAAGGGAACTTTTGGAGAACTTGGTGAAAGTTTGTTCAGTTTATTAACAAAAATACAGCAAATCAATTTGATTAACCTTTTAGCTGGGAATGGTGCTTTGGCAGATGGTGTAGTTACAACATCTACCAGCAGGGGCTAAAAAACCCACAGTAAGCAGACAGCTTGACCCCTTAAAAAACAAAAATAATAATAATAATATGAGGAGAGAGGGGAAAAAAAGGAGAAAGGAGAAAAAAAGATAAGGGTAATGTCCTATCTGAAAGTAGTACATACTGTAAGTCTAGGTCTTGAGAGGGGTCATCTACGACAGGATTTATGTATTTAATACAGACCCGTTAAGGCTTTCAGCACAGGCTCATCCGATAAGAATAATGGAAATATCAGGAAAAACAGCCTGAAGGGTACAAAGAGACTAAACGCATCAATGCGATCATAGGAGGAGGGGCGGATGAAAAATTGATGTATTGCTGAGGTTATAATCATCCATGAAAGGGTAGGCCATCCCTATCCTAGTCACAAGGGTTCAAAGATCAAATGTAAGGAGCTTTGGATAGGATAAGAGATTTGGTGTAAATAGCGGAGAATGCTGTATGACACCCGTTCACACTCTCAAATAGGAAGAACTGCAGAAGGTCAATTGTGCTAGCAACCACTCAATTGTTTTTAAAAGTGATTTCTCATTCTTTAAGATCTAGGTCAATGGGATTATGAATACATTTTTCATCACACATGTCAGAACAAAAAAAGTTTGAATCCTAAAAAGAGGAAACGCAAGTGCTTCAGTAGCTCTCCTGAGGATAGCTCCTGGTTTGGGAGAAATCTGGTGCGTAGGATCAGAGCAGAATAAATGAATACTCACCCACGATTTCACTTGATTCCTTGTTGTAAAGTTTCTTATTCCAGAACAGCAACCTCAAAAAGGGAAACGAGGTCAGCAGCACCAGGCAGATTCCCAGGAACATGTAACCCGTAAAGGCCGCAAAGTCAATCCCCTGGAGGAAAAAAAGGGGGCGGGTTAATTTTCACCCTTTTTAAAAGCAACTTATGCAATTAATTTGCTGCGGCATTCCATGAAATCTATTCTAAGCGCTAAGTAGAGATCGCATCCACTTTACTGGCACTCCATATAATGTGGATGTAGGCCTTGATTACATTTCATCAACAGAATCATATCCAGCAGTTTTAATGCTTGCATCTTGATGCATTTTAACACTTATATAAGATTTAAATGAGCACCTGCATGTGGCATAAATCCTCTTAAAATGCTCTCGACTATTTATTAATTTTCATTCACGTCGATGAGAGCACGCATCACTCTCAGCTAAAAATTTGAGCTTCGGATGATATTTCCTTGCCTGTTCATCCATCCCGTCTCTCATCATAACCAGATGGCATAACATTTTCAAATGGCACCACTGATAGAGATGTGTAAAATAGATCCGTGCGGCCTGAAATCTAATCCGACGACTTATCTCTCAATATACGGCTGCTGTGTAACCCATTGTAGTGAGGTATCATTGCTTGTTTATACAATGGCTTTTGTACATACAAGATATTTTACAAGCAGAGCCAAACAGGCTTGCTTGCATACAATTGGGAAACTTTCACAAGGCTACTGAGGCAAAATACAAAGTCATAAACATTTTTGTATGCTGATTTCGAAAATCTAGTTTAAAATCCTACAAGAAATGAATAATAATAATAATAATAATAATAATAATAATAATAATAAATTGTTATGACCCTGTCTTTCCTTTTCTTACCTTTAGATGTCCTCGCAGTGTGACGTCACAGTTAATTAGTTGATTTATGGATGGAGGTTGTACATATTTGAATTTTATTTGGTGGACCGTTATTCCCCAGAGAGGCCACTTTGTAAGGCAATAACATCAAAAACCTGACACCTGCTGTGAAAATTCTAAAAGGCGATACCACGAGAATTGTGGGGCACTAAAACAATACATTTTCTGATCCGAAAAGAAGATCCGGAAACCAGCTGTTCAACTGTTTTTTTTTTAAATCACACTAAGCTCTTCTCCTGACCTTTACTTTACCTTCTCCACCAAAGCAATCACTCAAACTCCATACAGAATGTCCAAGTTTTGAATATGGTGTATCTTTTAGCTCTATATTCATGTTTGGCATCATTTTAAATGTATTTGTGTGGTTGGTAAAATGGTCTCAATTTCACTGTAATATTTCAATAAAAAATTTCAATTGTATATGTTGATCTGGTCTTCGGCTTTGATAAGATCTTTGCAAAATGCTCCACCTCAAAGAAAATGGTTCACACCTTAAACTCACTACCAGGCAAGGACCTTTGTAAAGCTTTTGTTGTCTTGAATGTATGGCTGTTCGTTCTGAGTTGAGTATTTAAGGGAAGGGTGCAGGTCTTGATGGCAAGATGCCCCATTGCAGTGTTTGGGTCTCTGAGCATTTTCATCAGAGCCCCCTGAATTATTAGCATATCTATTTTTTTTTTTCTTCTATTTCTGTTTAATGGAGTGATTTTTTTTCCAACACATTTCTACACATAATAGTTTTAATAACATATTTCTAATAACTGATTTATTTTATATAAGCCATGATGACAATAAATATTTTTTTACTACATGTTTTTCAAGACACTAGAATTCAGCTTAAAGTGACAATTAAAGGCTTAACTAAGGTTAACTAGGCAGGTTAGGGTAATTGTGCAAGTTATTGTTTGTTCTGCAGAAAATCATAAATAATAGCTTAAAGGAGCTAATAATTTTGACATTAAAATGTTTTTTAAAAACAAAACTGCTTTTATTTTAGCCGAAAAAAAAACAACTTTTATTTTAGACTTTCTCCAAAAGAAAAAATGTTATCAGACATACTGTGAAAATGTCCTTTCTCTGTTAAGCATAATTTGGCAAATATTTAAAAAAGAAAAAAAAATCAAAGGGGGGCTAATAATTCTGACCTTAGCTGTATAATTGATGTTGTACATTTCTAAATTGGCTTTTTATTCTTTGATTCTGTAATTGGCATGATACACTTTCATCTGGAAAATAAAGTGTTAAGTATTAATTCATTCTGAATTCTCCTGAAATCTTTTAAATCCAATAGATTAAGTGGAATCTGTGCTACCATTATGTTGTGACATGATTTTTTAGATTGTTAAGGTGCATTTGACTGTACGGAGAAGTTTGGCACGGCAGCATGAAGCCCTTTTAATCATTAAATCACTCAAATTAGCAAGTTATATGGAAATGACTAAATTAACTCTTTTAGTATGAGTGAGCAGGAAGCAACCAGACTACTTGAGTATTAGTTAACCCTACATCATCTGACTATTTTCAGAGTGTCGAAATAATGTACGTGAGTAGAAATGCAATGCCGGGGCGTAGAAATCAACGTTTTGTCCCTAACGAACGCATAACTGAAGAGCATGGGATCAGATATAAATCAAAACTCTAAATTAAGTCATGAATGATGAATGTGATCCGATTTTCCAATTAGAAATACAGTGTAAATTTGACTGTGGCTTAAAATTGGAGTCAGATTAAATTCAGAGCTGAAAAACAAATAGAAATAAATTTTAATAACTAACAGAATTTTTTTAAGGAGCACTAGAAAAGGCTTACATGCATTTAATCTTCGACCATGCTGTTAGTTTTGTCATTGAGCTAATAGATGGACTTCTACACCATCTTATGCTTTTTGTGTTATAGAACGTTGTATTTTGTCGAGATAATTTCAGTTGGTTTACTTATTTAATTCAAATCTTTAGACAGTTTGGTATATTTTAATATTCCTTTCAATAAATCTTTATTTCATTACATACTTCTTGAGTCTCTAAACCTTTTAATGGTACAGTCGAGAGAGAGCTGGCTGTAAGAACAACAACAACAACAACGACAACAACATAATAATTATAATTATAAAAAAAATAATAATAATAATAATAATAATAATAATAATAATAATAATAATATTAATAATATAGTATATACAGTTGAAATTAAAATTATTATCCCCTTTGTATTTCTTTTTTCTTTTTTAAATATTTCACAAATGATGTTTAACAGAGCAAGGAAATTTTCACAGTATGTCTAACAATAGTTTTTCTTCTTCAGAAAGTCTTAATTGTTTTATTTCATCCAGAATAAAAGCAGTTTTTAATTTTTTAAAAACCTTTTTTAAGGTCAAAATTATTAGCTCCTATATATATTTTTTGATAGTCTATCTAGTCTATCTTTGATAGTCTATCTTTGAACAAATCATCTTTTTTCAATAACTTTCCTAAATCCTCTAACCTGCCTAATTAACCTAGCTAAGCCTTTAAATGTCGCTTTAAGCTGAACAGAAGTGTCTTGAAAAGTATCTAGTTAAATATTATTTACTGTCATCATGGCAAAGATAAAATCAGTTATAAAAAAAATGAGTTATTAAAACTATCATGTTTAGAAATCTTCTCTCTGTTAAACAGAAATTGGGGGAAAACAAACAGGGGGTTAATAATTCTGACTTTAACTGTATAATAGTATCTTCTTTCATCAAGGCTGTATTGATTAGAATAAATCCTATAATAGTAATTGCACAGTGCTGTAAATTTGGTCAAAATACATTATATGCGATACATCAAACCATTCATTTAAAAAAAATTCATCCATCTTTAACCCTTAGCGTTCAGGTTTTAGCCAAATTTGTGTAGACAGGGTTTTTTCTTTTACAAAAATTAATAAAAGATAAATTATCAAATTGTGTTACAATAGACACAGTCTCTATTATTTTGTAAAGGACTTTTGTAAACTGGCAAAATATGGGATAATTGCATCCCTGTTGTAGTTCTGCTCCCCACATAGCTTGGGTTTGGCAGAAACCCAGGACTTAGAGATACTTCTTAGAAATGAAAAAAAAGAGAAAATTGGAGGGGGGAAAACAACACTGATGCTGTTTTTTGTCAGTATAAAATCCCTAAATCAGCTCACGGTACTAAATCCTACACTCTTAAAACAAAGCCATGACTGACAAAAACAGAAATGAATCATGGCCTTGCATGATTTAGAAACATAAAAAAATAACTGTGAGTAAGCAAACAACAAACAAACAAACAACATGTCCAATCTCAGATGCTAGAATGAGACAAAATGTGAATGGGGCTGAGATGTGAAGACTGGAGCACAGTGACCTCTACAGGAGATCAAGAACAAGCAGTACTAGGAGAGAGAAAGATGAATGCACTGAAACGACAGCAAGGACAGCAAGGACAAATAAGTGCAAGGTGAGAAAAACTACATTGATCTGAAATAAAAGCAATAGAAAATGAAAATTCTGTTGAAAACCGCAAGAACAAATCATTCTTTTTGAAACAGACCTTTTTGCTGATCTGTTCTAAAAAGAAATTAACCTATTATTTGAATTTAAATGCAAATGAAATGCAAAATGAAATAATTTGATTCATTTTTTGAACAACTGGCATCGTGTCTACCCTGAACACGAACGGCACGACAAATTCAATACAACAATAAAGCAATGATTATGTCTACACTGGATGGAATACATTGCAAGGGACAAATATTTAACAGTATAGCATTCAATTGCAAAGGACAAATATTCAACAGTAGCATTCAACTCCTCCAAGTGCTCTTGCTTCTTTTGACAACGAGGACAAATGGATTTGAAATGTTTGTTATGTAACTCTCAGTGTATACATGTTGTTGCTGCTGCAAAGTGAGTGACAAGGTCTTGTCCACTGCAGTTTCAGAAATAAAGGTACTGTGGTGGCACCTTTTTAAAGGGTACACTTTTGTATTTATAAATCCACCTTTAATGTACAATATGGACATGTATTTTTGAAAAGATACCGCCCAAGCTTTTATACGTTCACATCTGAGAGTGTGTAGACATTCACTAAAAGCATTCCAGATATTTTGAACATTAAAAACTGCCATTTTAAGATGATTTTTATTTTTGGGTTATTCCTACTATTCTGCGCCATTTCAGAGTAGTAACCATCCCTGAA